TCACTTTGCTGCAGCCTGCTTACTAGTTGGTTGGGCTCCTTTTTTGTCTAAGATTTCTTCTGGGTTAAGAGCCCCTTTTAAGTATTTATTTTATTACCTTTTATAGAATAGGGGTGACAAACGAGCACACAGTCCACGTCATGGTAAGCGGATGCTTTGGCACATAGACATCTACATCTGCTTTTCGATTTGTTCATATTTCGTCACAAAACATAATCAGCTATGTTTTACTTTTGTTTTTCATAATCCGCAGGCATTATATTTTACATTCTTATAACTTATGATTCCATATGAATTACGAATGAAGATTTAAAAAAAAGCGATATCATCATGCTGCAGCCATATTATGTTTGTAGCACGAATGAGGACCACGTTATAACCAGATTACAAGCGTCAAAAAATCAGTCAAAATCAGCTTAATGCTGCTATGTTTTTATGATAAGTGTAGGCCCGAAGGCACGTCCATCGAGGCATTCCAACTTAATCCTCAGATAAGGAATCTCTATTTTGATTCTTAATCATGGATATAGATGTCTGTGGCTCACAGAATGCAATTACCATCAGGTGGACTGTGAGCATGTTGGACACACTTATTCCCTTAAAAAATTAAAATTATATTTAAAGCGCATTCAAGATATAAATATATGTATACAATATAACGAAAACATGAAACATTCATTTATTTTAAGTAAAACTCTGGTAAACAAAATCAAAAATATTGCAATAAACTAAAACTTTAGCTGAATTGACAGAAATTGTTTTGCCCCTTCTGAGAGGTGACGCGATGAGTTTCGCTCCGATTTTATCTGAACACAGTGTGAATATATAAATTATTATCAACTGTTTTACAGCGTCACCTATCGGGTCTGGATTTAGAGTTTTTTTATGTGGCATCAACACTATTGATTTACTATAATATAATATTTTAAAAATTTGTTAATAACTAGACTACAGCGTCATCTGTTGGATCCGATCATAAGTTTAAACCACCGTCTCGACAAAACAAGGATGTGGTGTAAATATGACTTCAGTCAAGTTATTCAAAATACACGACCACTAACAGATGCACAATCGATTCTTCATCATTATAACAACTTTCAAAGCTCACTGCTGAACATAGGCCTTCCTCATAGATTGGACTTATAGGGCGAGTAATTACAATAGATTCTACGCCACACAGGCGGAATCAGAGTCGAAATTTTTCATTATATTTTGTTACTATCAGGAAGATGTTTTTACTGGAATCAAGGCATTGCAACTTAGTCCTCATGGATGACAAAGTATCTGCATTTTGATTCCTAAATTTAAAAGTAGATGTCTATGGGCCACAGCATCCACTTACCAATAGGTGGACTGTGTGCTAGTTTGTCACCCTTATCCTATAAAAAAATGGTAATACCCATTTCCACAATCCACCCATTACAAATCATTAACTATCTATTACATAGTTTACACTTTCACTGTCCGATTTTCAGACAAAATAGTAAGACAGAATAGCAAGAAAGTACTCGGGACAGCGAATGGGTTAAATAAAGTGTTAATTTTTTGACAGGCCTGTTGGTCTAGTGGTTAGTGACCCTGACTGCTATGCCGGAGGTCGTGGGTTCGATTCCCACCCAGGACAAACGTTTGTGTGATGAGCGCGATCATTTGTTCTGTGTCTGGGTGTAATTTATCTATAATATTTATGTATTTAGAAATATATAAGTATGTTTATCAGTTGTCTAGTACAATTAAAACACAAGCTCTGCTTAGCTTGGAACTAGATGGCGTTGTGTGATAGTTGTGGAATATTATTATTATTATGGAGGTATCTATATAGTTTTCTCATCTGGTTGAGATCTATAAATATATAATTATAAATGAAAAGATAAATATACATAAATATCATTAAAATAAAATAAATACAAAAATACATAAATAAATAAAAGGCCAACCAGATGGAAGCCCTCGGCAGGGGAGACCAAACGGGCGAGGGTTATTATTATTATTATTATTATTGTGGGGTATCTATATAGTTTTCTCATCTGGTTGGGTTCTATAAATATATAATTATAAATGAAAATGAAAAGATAAATATACATAAATATCAATAAAATAAAATAAATACAAAAATACATAAATAAATAAAAGCCCAACCAGATGGAGGCCCTCGGCAGGGGAGACCAAACGGCCGAGGGTTAGGGGGAAAGGGAAAGAAACCGGCGGACGATGCGGGCGGTATCGAGGAGCACCGCCTTCTGCATTTGAGCCCGGAGCGGTCCGCCACGGAGTCCCAGTCGCCTCAGATGACCTGCTAACTGGGATTAGCCCGTTCGCAGAGACGACTACAGGAATAATTTCGGTCGGCAGACCACCCCACATGTCGGTCACCTCGTGAGCCAGATCCAGATACTTTGATTGCTTATCTGTTTCGGCTTTCACGAGGTTCTCGTCATACGGGATGGTAATGTCGACCAAAAATATCCTTGACTGTGCCCGGTCCATCAGCACAATATCAGGCTTATTCGCAAGAATAGTCCTGTCTGTGATGATGGCCCGGTCCCAGTAGAGCCTGGCGCGATCATTTTCGAGCACGGCTTCCGGCAAGTACTTGTAATACGGCACTTTCCGATCCACGAGACCGTATTTCAGAGCGAGCTCCTGGTGAAGAATTCCGGCTACTAGGTCGTGCCTGTGCAAGTACTCAGAGTTAGAAAGCGCCGAACAACCGGAGATGACGTGCCTAAGTGACTCCCCGGGATGGCGACAAGCTCGACAGACGTCCACGGTGCCATCCTTTAGGATGTATCTCCGATAGTTGTTGGTCTTAATAACCTGATCCTGTATTGCACAGACAAAACCCTCGGTTTCCCCGAAGAGGTCACCGAAGCGTAGCCAGTGGAGGGAGGCGACTGTGTCTACTAAAGGCTCATGTAGAGCCTTGTAGAACCTCCCGTGGAGCTCCTTCTCCTTCCATACGTTCTCCCGGTCGGAAATTGTCTGCACTGCCGGGTCCTGCCATTGCTCGTTGGCTAAGGATAGAGGGGTAAGCCCTTTATCACTAGAAATGACGTCATTATAGAATGGATATCATCCGATCTCGCCAGGAAGTAATGACGGAGGCTGCACACTTCGCGATTATGCATGGTGAGCGCGCTCAAGAAGCCACGCCCACCATGCTTTCGCGGCAAGTACATCCTCATTACCGACGATCTCGGATGATGCATCCTATGGGACGTCATGGTAGTGCGGACTTTTCTATCCAGGGCGTTAAGCTCAGTCTGAGTCCACCTGAGTATGCCAAAGGTATACATGAGGACAGGCATGACCCAGCCGTTATATGCGTGTGTCTTATTCACACCGGACAAAAGGCTGTTAAGCACTTTGGTCAAGCGTGCATAAAACACGTCGCAAACTGACTGTTTCATACCAGCCTCATCGATACCGATGTTCTGTGACATACCCAGGTATCGGTATGTTTCAGCCTCGGAAAGGGTCCTTAAGTTGACGGGCATAGATAAGTCTATGCCCTCAGAGTTAGCAACCCTCCCCCTTTCAACATGGAGGACCGCACACTTATCCGTCCCCAGCTCCATTCCAATGGAATTGCTAAATTCACAAGTGATGTTTAGCAATTCCATAAGATGGGAGCGACTGGAGGCGAATAACTTGAGGTCATCCATATAGAAAAGGTGGGTCACTTTTGTACCTCCTTTCCGAAGCTGAAATCCCCTCCCGGAGCCCTCCAGTAAAGTACTGAGAGGGTTCAGGGAGAGGCAAAACCAGATTGGACTCAGACAATCGCCCTGGAAGATACCCCTTCTTATCCTTATGTGGTTCTCCGCAGCCATCATCCGCTCGCCCAGATAGCAAAGGATCGTACTCCATTGCCCCATACACTGCTCGAGGAAGTCTCCAACTGTACAGTCAATTTTGTACAGCTCGAGGACTCTCTTTAGCCATGTATGGGGCACCGAGTCGAATGCCTTTCTGTAGTCTATCCAGGCGGCGGAGAAATTCCGACGGTTGCGTTTCACCACTTTGCCAATGACCGCGTCAATGAGGAGTGGTTCCTTGGTTCCACGACCACCGCCCCGGCATCCATTTTGAGCGCGTGACATCACCTGATTTAGCTCCAGGTGACGAGTGATTCTCGCGCTCAAAATGGATGACAGTGTCTTATATATGGTGGGTAGACACGTGATGGGGCGGTATTTGCTCGGGTCTGTGGTATCCTGATCTTTAGGAACCAAATGAGTGATCCCAGTAGTGAAGAGGCTCGGGAGCGACTTCTGATCGAGAGCCTCTTGAAACTGTCGGGCGAGCACAGCGTGACACACTACGAACCCCTTCAGCCAGTAATGATGCAGCCCGTCGAGCCCCGGACTTTTCCAGTTCGGGGCCCTACGGACCGCCTCAGCCACGTCTTCAGGCGTTACGGTGACGGGGTCCATAGGCGTAACACTTGCACTCTGGCTCGCCACAACTTCCATCCAAGGGCCCTCGCTGTGGTTTACGGGCTCTGACCACAGGCCACGCCAAAATGCGACAGTGTCAGCCTGATCCGGTCCTGGGCCCGCTCCACATACCTCTGGTCGCTCCAATGATTTATAGAGCCTCTTCTGATCACTCTGGAAGAGACGATTCTGGTTGAACCGCCTTGACCTCTCGCTAAATCGTCGAATCCGCTTCCCCCAAGCAGCGATCTTTTGCTTCAGGTCGTCTATGCGCTCCGTTAGTTTTTGCGTGATATCCGGCTGGGACAAACTGATATTTGTCCCAGCAAACGCCATCCTAACGGTGCGCATAATCCTCGGTCTATTATTACCCGACCTGAAGCTTGTCAGTCTACCGATAAGGGCCCTTGCCTTTGCGATACGGTCCTCGATTCTTTTTCTCCAGGCTGGGATGGCGCTACTTTGTTGAGTAGCACGTCCAGCCACGGGAAGTTTGGCGCCAATAATACGGCATACTGCCAGTGCGGCGCCAAAAATAATTGAATCCGTCTCGCATAGGTCCCGGCTGGCTTCCAAATAGGTCACCAGCATTAGGTTAAGAGCCCGCACGACAGCCCGATTTCGCTTGCTAAGGGGTATGCGAGGAAGTCGCGGTCGATTTTCGAGAGGCGTACTGCGCGTTTCCATAATCGCCTCTTCCAATGTACTCCTCATTTGCTCTATTTCTAGTTCCTGGGTGAATGTTCCATCATCATTTGAATCAGCAACCACTGGGGTATTCTCGGCGACATCCACGTGTGCGGGTTGTTCTGCAACTTGTGGCACCGCACCCCCAGCCGTAGCGTTTTCATTTGACGAGGGAACAGCCTCACGTCGTAGCCGTTCGAGTTCGGCGCCATCAAATATATTTGAGCGTAAGATATACCGAACTCGGTCTGCCAGGTTTTGCTCGGTGACAGTAATAGATGGCTCCAGCTCAATAAAAAGACGATGCATCCTAGCCCGATACGCGAAACTTCCAATTTCTCCCCCTTTCGCCCTAAAATACGCCCGCAATGCGTTTGTATTCATATTGATGGTCCATCGCATGCGGCGTACTCCACCAGTGGCGGGTGCCGATTGCTGGGTCTGCGAAGACCCTGCCGACACCAAGCAAGCTGGTGGGGATGATGGATGCGAGGGGCTGCTGGGTGGTCGTGCAGCACCTCGCGCTCGGCTGGCGGTTCGCATGCTGTCGCGTCCAGCGCCAGCTCCAGACGCGCCCTGACGACCTCCAGGCAGCGGCCCTTTGCGCAATCTTCTGTGTTCCATCATCCATACAGGGCGTCATTTAACGGGAGACGCCCAGACCCGGCGCCGTTTCATGGTGAGGCCATATGCACAAGCGGGCCCTTGCACCATCAATTTTTGCCGAGGCACGGCGCTCACACCTCTTGGCAAGGTGCTGACTGACTGCGCGGACGTAGCGGTTTTGTCACATAACCGTCACGTCAGCGGGCGATGGGGTCGTCACTTCCCTACGCCATTTTATTATTATTATGTGGGGTATCTATATAGTTTTCTCATCTGGTTGGGATGTATAAATATATAATTATAAATGAAAATGAAAAGATAAATATACATAAATATCAATAAAATAAAATAAATACAAAAATACATAAATAAATAAAAGCCCAACCAGATGGAAGCCCTCGGCAGGGGAGACCAAACGGCCAAGGGTTAGGGGGAAAGGGAAAGAAACCGGCGGACGATGCGGGCAGTATCAAGGAGCACCGCCTTCTGCATTTGAGCCCGGAGCGGTCCGTCACGGAGTCCCAGTCGCCTCAGATGACCAGAGAGGCTAACTGGGATTAGCCCATTCGCAGAGACGACTACAGGAATAATTTCGGTCGGCATACCACCCCACATGTCGGTCACCTCGTGAGCCAAGTCCAGATACTTTGATTGCTTATCTGTTTCGGCTTTCACGAGGTTCTCGTCATACGGGATGGTAATATCGACCAAAAATATCCTTGACTGTGTCCGGTCCATCGGCACAATATCAGGCTTATTCGCAAGAATAGTCCTGTCTTTGATGATGGCCCGGTCCCAGTAGAGCCTGGCGCGGTCATTTTCGAGCACGGCTTCCGGCAAGTACTTGTAATACGGCAATTTCCGGTCCACGAGACCGTATTTCAGAGCGAGCTCCTGGTGTAGAATTCTGGCTACTAGGTTGTGCCTGTGCAAGTACTCAGAGTTAGAAAGCGCCGAACAACCGGAGATGACATGCCTAAGTGACTCACCGGGATGGCGACAAGCTCGACAGACGTCGACGGTGCCATCCTTTAGGATGTATCTCCGATAGTTGTTGGTCTTAATAACCTGATCCTGTATTGCACAGACAAAACCCTCGGTTTCCCCGAAGAGGTCACCGAAACGCAGCCAGTTGAGGGAGGCGACTGTATCTACGAAGGGCTCATGTAGAGCCCTGTAGTACCTCCCGTGGAGCTCTTTCTCCTTCCATACGGTCTCCCGGTCGGAAATGCTAAGCACTGCCGGGTCCTGCCATTGCTCGTTGGCTAAGGATAGAGGGGTAAGCCCTTTATCACTAGAAATGACGTCATTATAGAATGGATCATCCGATCTCGCCAGGAAGTAATGACGGAGGCTGCACACTTCACGATTATGCATGGTGAGCGCGCTCAGAAAGCCACGCCCACCACGCTTTCGCGGCAAGTACAGCCTCATTACCGACGATCTCGGATGATGCATCCTATGGGACGTCATGGTAGTGCGGACTTTTCTATCCAGGGCGTTAAGTTCAGTCTGACTCCACCTGAGTATGCCAAAGGTATACATAAGGACAGGTATGACCCAACCGTTATATGCGTGTGTCTTATTCACACCGGACAAAAGGCTATTAAGCACTTTGGTCAAGCGTGCATAAAACACGTCGCAAACTGACTGTTTCATACCAGCCTCATCGATACCGATGTTCTGTGACATACCCAGGTATCGGTATGTTTCAGCCTCGGAAAGGGTCCTTAAGTTGACGGGCATAGATAAATCTATGCCCTCAGAGTTAGCAACCCTTCCCCTTTCAACATGGAGGACCGCACACTTATCCGTCCCCAGCTCCATTCCAATGGAATTGCTAAATTCGCAAGTGATTTTTAGCAATTCCATAAGATGGGAGCGACTGGAGGCGAATAACTTGAGGTCATCCATATAGAAAAGGTGGGTCACTTTTGTACCTCCTTTCCGAAGCTGAAATCCCCTCCCGGAGCCCTCCAGTAAAGTACTGAGAGGGTTCAGGGAGAGGCAAAACCAGATTGGACTCAGACAATCGCCCTGGAAGATACCCCTTCTTATCCTTATGTGGTTCTCCGCAGCCATCATCCGCTCACCCAGGTGACAAAGGATCGTACTCCACTGCCCCATACACTGCTCGAGGAAGTCTCTCACTGTACAATCTATCTTGTACAGCTCGAGGACTCTCTTTAGCCATGTATGGGGCACCGAGTCGAATGCCTTTCTGTAGTCTATCCAGGCGGCGGAGAAGTTCCGACGGTTGCGTTTCACCACTTTGCCAATGACCGCGTCAATGAGGAGTGGTTCCTTGGTTCCACGACCACCGCCCCGGCATCCATTTTGAGCGCGTGACATCACCTGATTTAGCTCCAGGTGACGAGTGATTCTCGCGCTCAAAATGGATGTCAGTGTCTTATATATGGTGGGTAGACACGTAATGGGGCGGTATTTGCTCGGGTCTGTGGTAACCTGGTCTTTAGGAACCAAATGAGTGATCCCAGTAGTGAAGAGGCTAGGGAGCGACTTCTGGTTGAGAGCCTCTTGAAACTGACGGGCGAGCACAGCGTGACACACCATGAACCCCTTCAGCCAGTAGTGATGCAGTCCGTCGAGTCCCGGACTTTTCCAGTTCGGGGCTCTACGGACCGCCTCAGCTACGTCATCCGGCGTTATGATGACGGGGTCCATGGGCGTAATACTCGCACACTGACTCGCCACAACTTCCGTCCAAGAGCCCTCGCTGTGGTTTACGGGCTCTGACCACAGGCTACGCCAAAATGCGACAGTGTTAGCCTGATCCGGTCCTGGGCCCGCTCCACATACCTCTGATCGCTCCAATGATTTGTAGAGCCTCTTCTGATCACTCTGGAAGAGACGATTCTGGTTGAACCGCCTTGACCTCTCGGTAAATCGGCGAATCCGCTTCCCCCCAAGCAGCAATCTTTTGCTTCAGGTCGTCTATGCGCTCCGTTAGTTTCTGCGTGATATCCGGCTGGGACAAACTGATTTTTGTCCCAGCAAACGCCATTCTAACGGAGCGCACAACCCTCGGTCTATTATTACCCGACCTGAAGCTTATCAGTCTGCCGATAAGGGCCCTTGCCTTTGCGATACGGTCCTCAATTCTTTTTTTTTATTATTATTATTATTAATTTTCCTTAGAACTGTCTCTTTCTATTATCATTACGAGAAGAGCGAGAAACAAAGCAACTTTAAGCATCTCATAAACCGTATATTTTAATGAGTAACTTTAAGTAAAAATTTAAAGGTCCGATGAAATGGTGATTAGTATTGCAGTAAAGTTGCACCGTAAAAAAGTTCCAATAAGCTAAAGTAATCTTTTAAGTAAAATTTGCAAAAAAAATCTCCCTACTTTATCTCCCCGGAAGCTACTATAAAATCTTAAAGCACAGAGTAATGTCTGGCAATTATCTTTAACTGTTAAACATTAAACACAGCAAAATGAAAATGGACCCTAAAAGAATTCATTACATGAACAAAATTGACCCCTGACAGATGCAAATGTTGACGAAACAGGCAATAATAATCTTTATACTGATAAACATAGAGTGTAAGTTGGCTGCAAACGTTAAAATATTGAGCTAGTAAATTATTTCGATTCCGAGATAAATAATCCCGAATGGTTGGAGTTAGTCGGAAATTTAATTTTGATGCGCTCAAGGAAACGGCATGTGGAGGGGAGGGGGAGAGGATAAAATGCCAATAATTTATTCTACAGAGATGTAAGATAAAGACGCTAAATGGTTTCTGACAGAGAAGCAATTCTATTCAAATAACCGATCGAAACGGTATTCGAGCAATTCTATTCAAATATTCGATCGAAAACGATCTTCGTGACTGCTTTCTTCAATTGTAATAACAAGTAAAGGAAACGATCCAAAATTGTATGAAGCGTGGGACTATTTTGTACTAGTAGGGAAATAAATTAAAATAAAATATTAAACCACTTTGGTAAAAATGTTTTATTGTCACCAAAACATGCAACACTAATGGCGGATAATAGTCATACTGTCACAAGATTTGAATTCTAAAATGCTGTTTTATTCCTATCATTAACCCTTCAATATGCACACGGTCGGATCCGACCACGGGGATGTTCCTCAAATTCCAAGCGGTCGGATCCGACCACACCCACGCATATCACTTTAAACCATTAAAACTTATATTTAGAGACTACTTTTCTATGAAGAAGTTTGATATTATTGGCTCCATGTGAAATTCCTCTTCTTTAATGTAATAAAAAACTTAGTTAGTCTATGGTATTTATTTATAATCTACGTTCATTTCGTACGACTGTTAGGTGTGGCGCATTATTGTGTTGATTTTTGGATTTCTCTAGTGTGTTGTTAGTGTTTTATTATAAAATTGTCATAAAAGCTTTTGTGTGAATACAATTTATATTTTTACATAAAGAATTTCGAATAATATATAAAAATAATTGTGATATTTACGCTGCTGTCCTGCGCTGGATATGCACATTTTTACTATGAAAATACAATTAAAATCTATTTGTAATGAAGTAAAAGCACTAAAACAAGTAACATAACATAATAAATACAACAAGAATAAGTAATATATTGAAATTTATAGTGAATTTTATTGCAAATAAATGTACGAGAAATTCCATGTTTATTTTTTACCGACACCGTGTCACGCAAAGCGCGCGGCCGGTGCGAACACTTTAGCTGGGGACTGAGGGGTTAAGCCATAATCAAATCGCCAAAGAAATCCACCAGAAACACAATAAACGCATTTACGGGTTCACAACATGACTCAAGTCACTTGTCAAAAATGACATTTGACAATAAATAATCTTACGAAACCATTAAAACCTTGGGAATGCATTTTGATTTTTAGCAATTTATTTAGTTGGATTTATTCTATTTTATTTTAATAAAATTCCTGAATTCTCCGCTTTTTTACAGTATAGTGTACATAGACTTGGCTTGAAATGGACCATGTCCTTTAAGCTATCCTTAACGACGTGACGATTAGATGAA